GCTCCTATGCGGAGCTGTTTTGGGCAAGTCGGCCCGCCGACGTCAATTATCTCGACCCCTTCCGATGGTTCAGCTCGGTTCCCCGGCTTCTTCTCCTTAAACTGGTCTCGGGGATCAAGGACGTCATCTTCCTTGGCCGGTTCCTTCCCCGGTCTCCTTCCTCGGTCCCGGGTTTTGTCTTCTTCGTCACTAGCCGGTGGTCGTTCATCTTCCCGCCGACTTTGATCGTCGCCCATTTCGACATTAACTTCCTCTACCACATGGATTTCTCGCGAGGGTATCTCTAGAAACAGCTCCCTGGCCTCTCTCTGCTCCCCGTAATGAGTTCCTTCTCCGTCTGCCGTCGGGAACTTTATCGCATAATGGAATATTGAAACGGCAGCTCGGAGTTTGTACAATGCCGTCCTCCCAATGATCGCATTGTATTCGTTGTCAAGGTCCATCACCTTGAAAGTTTCCATGATGACTTTGGATGTCTGCCCGTTCCCTCCGAATCTGATGGGGAGCGTGATTTCTCCCAAGGGGAGCGCCACGCTCCCGTTGAAACCATGGACGCGGTCGTTGCAAGGGCGGACCTCGGCGGGGTCTATCCCGAGCTTGTTGAACGCCTTAAGCATGAGGATGCTCGTGTAGGCCCCGGTGTCCACCATGATCCGGTGGACCGGAATGCCGCAGACGGGGGCCGTGATTATAAGTGCGTCCGAATGTGGATGATCGAACAGGCTTGCGTCCTCCAACGTAAAAGTGATCGGGTAGGTGCGGGCATTGATCGTCTCTCTAAGATCCGAGGTCATGACTTGCTTCCCCGAGTTGTAGGCCTTTCGCGTATAGGCCTTGGCCTGCCTTCTTGATGAAGTCGGTGTATCTCGGTTTGTGTTAACTCGGGGAATAGGGCTCGACCGTCCCGAGGTCGGAGGGGTCCGGCTGGATCGCGGCTAGGCGTCGGCTTCTCGGCCCCTCTTCCTGTGTTGGTCTTGGGGCGAACCGACGTCCGCCGGTCCGATCACAAAGATTTCTCTATCTCCCTGGGCTCGAAGCCTCTTGAAAGTCGGTGCCCCTTCATCTCCTTCGTCGTCGTCGGGGATTTCCTGCATTCTTCGTTTTCCTTTGTTGTCTCCAGCCTTGGTGAACTTCCTCACTTGCGGATTACCGATGAGCTTCATCAGAGCCGACAACAGGCTCAGGCATTCATCCGTATTGTGACCCGGCGACTTGTGGTAGTCGCAGTAGCGGCCCTTGTCGAGTTGGTTTTCCGGGGTTTTGACTGGTCGAGCGTCAGGGATGATTCCATTTCCCTTTATCTCCTCGTAAATGGCGGCCGCTCCGACCGAATAGATAGACCGGTATCCTTCTTTCAGGTCTTCTCGGTATTGTTTCCGAGCTGCTCGTACCTCGGG